CCAATCAATTGGACATTTCATGTCCAATTGAATCTTACGATTTTCCCTGTATTTTTTTTCAGCCAATCGCTTGCCATGTTACAATGCGAGACTCTGACCTCAAAGATGGGCTGAATATTTCGGGTTATTTCGTTGGTCAATAATATTCACCTCACCTGTCAATTAAACGCCATTTTCTATTTATGCTCCGACATATATTATTTAATTAATTTATTAATTTATCAAAAACATGTAACATGATGTAGCAAGGTACTTCTATCAAGATAGCTTGCAACAAGGTTAGCTTTTAAAAAAGCTAGTAGCGACTCGCTTCGTAATTTCTTTCCAGGGACGTGTTTAAATGTAAAAATGACAGTTCTGTTAGCTAAAAAGACTTTAGCGAACATCAAAATAAAAGTGACATATAAAGTTAAGGAAGCCAGTTCTCTCAGTTTAACAAAGAGGAATATGAATATATATGAAGATGCATGTAAACAGATAGAATGAAGTCCCTATGTCTATGCACATTTACTATTTGGCCTGTTGACCTTGACCAGAAAAAAAAAAGATAAGTAGAATTCATAAAAATGTCTCTTTATACGAAGTTAAGTTGTTATATGTTATTTAGTATTGGAATAAGTGACAGATACAAGTCCTAAAGTAAACACAAGTTGTCAATCAATTAAGCCAGAAAAGCCGGGATCCTATTAAAAAAAAAGGATCCCGGAAATTGACCAGTTCAAGAATATTGTTTTCAGAAAAGCCGGGATCATATTAAAAAATAAAGAGATCCCAGGAATTGGACAGTTCAAGAATATTGTTTTCAGAAAAGCTGGGATCGTATTAAAACATATAGGGATCCCGGGATTTGACCAATTCAAGAATATAGTCTTTGATTTTTCCAATTAATTAGGCATATAATTATAAGTATTGTGATTTTGTTAATAAATAGCTCTAAATATATCTATATCCTAAGTTAAATCAATTTAACTTTCATTACATATACAATAAAAAAAACTTAACGTTTAATGGCCTTTCATTACGACAATAATCAACACAAATATAGTTTATTAGTTTTTTCCTCCTTTATCTTATACGATCCCGGATCCCGGGCGTCCCGCATCCCGGCCAGTAAATACATACACTAAATACCGGAAAGGATGAAATGACCGGAAAAAAGAAAAAGAAAAAAAATGCACAGAACCAGATGTCGTTTATGTTAATTAACCAAACGAAAACTTACTACAGAGTAAACAGGATTGGTGAAATCGCTAAATCAAAAGTCAGTGTAAATATGATTTACTGAAAAGAATCCATGAAAACAAACATTTTAATCATCATTATATCTTTGCGCTCAAAACAATACTTGCTGCCTTTTAAAAATGGCGTGAAAATTGAAGGTTTTTTGACGCTATGTAAGGTCAAATTTGATTGGCTAAATAATTTTGGATCCTAGCCCCGATAAATAAATTTTGTAGAAAGCTGGAAGCTAAGCTTCGATTAAATTTTTGGATGGATTCGGAGTTTTAGGTTGTTTCTCAGTAAAATCCTAACGTAATACCGGCTCGCCGTGGCGAGCCGGCAATACTACTACCGTCAATGAACAGGCTCAATCAAACCGAGCCTGCAACATTTTCAATATTGCCGTTTTAGACGTTCTTAAGGTACGTTGTTTTTTTTTCTATTCTATAGATTATCAACAATAGCGTCTGGTAAATACGAGACTTGGATGTAATAAATATTTAATTGTTACGAACTTATAATAATAGCTATTTTTATACATATGTATACCTTTTTACGAAATACCGTTTAGTAACCTAGTCTCAGTGTTATATAACAACACTAGCTTGATACTACAAACGTTTCACCTCAATATAAAAGCAATTCCGCCGAGATTTTTAATACTATTTTCTATAAAGTCATCACTTGTCTGCATCTGAATATATGCATATAAATATTCCTATCGGGTTTTGTATCTCCTTTAAAACGGAAATGTCTTTATATATGCTGAAATTACGATAAATGGATACATACGTATATGTAGATTGTTGCATATGATTTTGTATGGTTCTTATAAATGGTAATATGAATAGATCGTCTCCACCGGTATTATGTAAATGTGCATCCAAAGGAGATTTTTAACTGATAGGACAATAAAGCTTTCTAGTGTTTAAAGTTTTATGCAGTTTTGTTACAGTGGTATAACACAAAGTCACTGATTGACCTGTGTGTGCAATTGATCTGGCAATGAATAGAAAAGGCGGAACTTAAACTGGGCCATTTTTTACTAGAGCAAATCATCTTGTATCTAATAGAATTAAAGGTATGTATCCTGTATGAACAAATTACGACACAGGACAAATGCATGTATAATATCTTTTTAACACAAGAAATTACGTCTTTTCAACAGAATTCCTAAAGAACGTCCAAAACTGCAAAATTTAAAAATGTTACAGGCTCGGTTTGATTAAGCCTGATCATGGACGGTACAGGAAAGTGCAAAGTACAGTCCATACACCCCAGCGCCTAAATCTAAAATTTCAGTGAAATGGTAAAATTTTGAATGCAGAAAAACATCCGCAGAGTGTTCAAACGGCAGTTATCATGTATCCTCAAATTTGATACATTAGTGCCATGTTATGAAAAGCGGCGTATAGTCCCCGCCGAATATGTAAAATGAAATTTCGATATCACGTATTATAATCCTTAATAATTATGTAAACGTTGGCTCGAGTAAAATATCGTGGTCTACTGCTCTATTTTGTAATAGGGTAATTTCTTACATATTATCAATTTGTTTCTGATTATGTCAACTTTAAATGCAACGTTTTAAAATGAGCGATGAACTTATTCAAAGGATATCGGACGCGAAGTGTCACATATCTAGAAACACTTTAAAAGAGTTCAGAGAGCATGGGAAACTTATTACTTTTCTTTACACTATTTTCAAATAATGAAATTGTCTTGCAATAACTTGACAACCTATATTCAGTCAAATTGAAGTGATCTTTAAGTCATCACGGATGGAAATGAAATGAAGTTCACGTCCAATTACACGAATATGAAATTGGTCGGTGCTATATTTCATACAACATTCCTTAAAACACGATGTAATTAATGAAATTGGCATCGTCTAGAAATCTCATTTCTTTGAAACATCTTCTTTCTAATAAGTAGTATTCACCAAAATTGGATGCAGATCACTAGACAAAAAGCTTATTTTATACAAACAAATATTTATGTTAAGATGCTAAATCTAATTTTGCTCGAGCTAAAATTTCTACAGCAAATGAATAGTAAACACTATACATAACACTTTGGCTCGTTTGTAAGTATATGAGATTGCATTGTTTCCTATGGAGGGATAAATTTACGCTTTTAAAGGTAATAATTATTACAAATAAAAGTAAAGCAATACATTATCATTGTGTCTGATTTCGATGCCGTATAAGTCTGGGGTTCATCTTTGCAGAATATGAGGACCAAAGCCCTTATCCAAGCAATATGTCCAGGAGATTTCCGGACATGGTCCTTTTTTGCACCGGCGATTTGTTTTTTCTCTAAAAACGTAGATCGACTGACAAATTTGAAAGCAACATAAAGAAGAAATAACCATTTTGAAAATAAGATTAATATTATTTCGATCGATCACGATACAGTTGTCTTAAATCTTTATAAAATGTAATTAAGAAGTGTCTGAAAAACGCGCTTTAGAGCACATCCTTACAGGAATTGACGTCATGCACAGTTAGCCATTGCAAAATGAACGCTAAGTACTTAAAACAAATGTTATGATCCAGTAGACTGTTTTAGTTCAAATGATCTTCTTCACAGCAATATAAGGCTCAAAGCCATACCGTAAGGAAAATGATATGCAGAGGCCCGCGTAAAATGGTAGCTTTAGGGACAGGCGATTAGAGAGGTCTCCCTTACACAATATAAGGCCCAAAGCCCTGACCCAAGCAAAATGTCCGGAAGATTTTTGCGTGGCCTGGTCCTTTTCTGCACTGGCGATTTGTTCTTTTTGTATATAAAGTGAACAAATGTTCGGGGAAAAAAACACAATTTTTTTCGAGCCAACCGTTTAAACACCATTTGTCTGACTCCTTTGCACGTTCAACTTTGTACTAGTTTGGAGAATCTTCCTTACACAATTTAAGGCCCAAAGCCTTAACCATGCAATATGTATGGGAGGTTTTCGCGTGACATGATCGTTTTCTGGACCGGCGATTTGTTCTCTCTGTATATTAAGGGAAAAAACACCATTTTCTCGAGCCAACCATTTAAACACCATTTGTCTGATTCCTTTGCAGATTCGATATTGTACTAGTTTGGTTGGTCTTGCTTACACAATATAAGGTCAAAAACCAAATCCCAAGCAATATGTTAGCAAAATTTCAGCGTGGCCACGTCGTTTCTCTCTCTTAGCATTTTAAATATTTTTGATATGTCTATTGAATTTGAATTACACAGTATTTCTGTACAAACAGAAATTTCTGTTCAAAGATTGCCACGAAATATACCTTTAGAAAGCACTTACTAAACCAGTTATAATGCATCTTTTTGTTTTGTTTGGTTCTTCTTTCTGTCCAGTGCATTGATATCTATACTCAGTCCAATATCATTTTGTCATTTGTTGTGATAGGGACTTGTAACATATGTCATTTTTCTACAAAATATACTTCTTTAAAGCTTTCGTTAAAACTATTAAACTCTCTAAAATGATGCAAGATAAAAAAGTTTTATACACTCAAGTTACGCGTTTTTATTTTCAGATTGGTCTTATATCGTATCTATCTATATGATATTTCACTAAGTTAATTTGTGCTTAAGCTGGTACTAGGGGTCTAGGACGGTAGCTTAATTACCATCAAAGTTTTCAGGTTTTATATACTTTTTTATCAAGCTGAGCAATTTCATGAGTATTTATTTTATACGTGAATTCATCAGTAGATATATAATTCTGTATTGACATTGCATTGAATTGAATTGTTATTATATAAGATCTATATCTTCATCAAAAAATAACTTGAACGCCATTTTGTTACGTTACTTTCAAGACAAATATTTCTTAGTTTCATAGGTTTAAATTGTAACTGTTAAATCCATAACAAATAAGCAAATTATAATTTCATTTTGATTGCATTAATACTTGGTTATCGAGTATATGGTGGGATTTGATATTTCTGCTGAATTAGGCAATATTTCGCTGAGATTTTTGCATTTTGCCATGCTCTACTCTGGACCTGATAAAACTTAGATGAGTAAACAGATGCCGCTAGTGTGTTGTTTTCACTTGAAATATTGTTCATTGCTATATTCATATCAAAATTACGCACAAGAGATGAATACAGTGATTATTATGTTTAATAGCACGTACAATTTCAGTTCAATTTTGATAATTTTTAAAGACACTTTACACGTTATTTAAGATAGTCTTACATTAAACTGTAAGCATTTTATTAACATAAATCCGTAAGAATTCTGATGTTTATATTACAGTGTTTGCTCTGTCCACATGTATTATGACTGGTATTTGTTCAGCGTCCCTCTTTCTTTTAGAAGGAGTAAATAATCTAGATGCTGTCACAGGAGGTAGTTTAAATGAAGTTCTACGAACTCTAGCAGATTCGGCTGTTGATGGTACAGAATCGAATCCAAGTGCTCTTTCTCGCCTCACAGGCATACTTGGTCTATTTAGAATCGCCTCTAGAACGGGTAGACACATATTAATGTTCATGATTCTACCGTCTGCTTTGCTTTCAGCAAGAATTCTTTTGCATTCCTTCATTTTCATGTTCTGATAACTATGGTCTTTCATTATAATATCAATTTCTCCCTTCAATGATTTTACCTCTAGACCTCCATATTGCCCATACCTATCACCGGCATTATCAATCAGAAGCTCCGTTTTACGTCTTTCTAGACATTTTTGAACACCTCTTACATGAAAAAGTGATTTTTTAAATGGTCCTGAAATGTGCGTGTATGTATCTTCCGATAGTTTATGTTCTCTGGCAAACTGATGTTTTGTTTTAACTAGTTCAGTTTCTAGATTCCCTTGTGTCAAATAAAGCTGTTTTCTGTTTCTCGATAATTGTTTTGTCAGTGCAACCAATCGCATTTCAGACAGTTGAGGTAAAACTGCTTGCACTTTGGCATCTGTTGAACAGTATGGCCGACCGGAACTGCTGTGTAAAATAGTCATCGTGGGTGCTGATTATCACATTAAGAACCTGAAAAAAGATTATATGATGATCACAAAACATTATGAAAACTGTTACCAAAATCACAAATAAAATAATTTAAGTTTGATAATAAAATTGTGCATTTCGAAGTGTTGAAGTATTTTTGTTATACATCTTCCGCCGTAATTTCTAGAAATTATGTAGACAATTTTGACAAAGCAACAGATTTTAATATATTTATGGCAGCGACGAAAAATTAATAATATTGGTCATTACACTGATAAAATTATAATATTTAAGGACCCGGGGTAACGTTTTAAAAACATAGTGAATATTCTTGAATCATTATTTTCACGAGGCAAATACGCAACTGTAATTGTAAAATGTTCTTTAAAGTAGAACAACTGTACATTAATGCTATAGTTTTGTCGAAAATAAGGCAATTCTTGACTCAAATTATCACCATGAAAACACCTGTAATGTATCAAAGTATGCAGGAATAACTCCGGGGTAGAATTATAATATCAAAAATGTTAATTCAGTCAAAGTATGCATAAAACAACATGTCATTTTATTATGAATATTAATACAAATACATTTCCTAACTGAATATTTTTCAATTCTGAAAATATTATGAGATGCCAAAATTTTGCTCAACGGACCTATTGCAAAGCTCCAAGCAGTAAAGACTAAGTTAATATGTTTTTTCTCTCTTTTCAGAGCATCAAAATTAACATTATCGTATGGAAATCTGCCATTTCCTCTAGACAGAAATATTAGCTGAAATTCACGCCATTTGCCTATAATTACCCAATGTCATTTTGATGTTTATTCGAGTGAAAATATTATGACCATTTTCCACGAGATACATTAAGTACGAATTAAAGTAATCTGTGGACTAATCCACCAAACTAAAAATCAAACGTTCAAAACACGTGGAGATTAGAGTAGCTTAGAAGGTCAAGCATATATTAAAAATGAAATAAACAGAATAATTAATGGCGTACCATTTGCATAATGTTTTATTTCCACATTTTTCTAACATTATGTTTTTTATTCCACATTTTTTGTTAGGCCATTCCGAAAGTTAATCTTGTTTTCGAATGTTAATATTTGCATTCAGTTGAATTTATAATACTTCAGAAACATGTTATGTTAACAATCCTTTATGTCAAACTAATATTTCTACATTTTACCTTATGAACAGTTTTGTACAATGACATTTCAAATTCATTTAAAATGTGCAGAATATCGAATTTGAACTTTCTAGTGTAATAGTTTTTATCGATACTTAAAAGAAATAAACTAGAATTCAAAAATTTAACTAACTCGTTTTGATGAACATATTGTCTAGGATTTGATACCTAGAAACAAAGAGTATAGCAAAAGATGTTGGTCCAAGTTTTTACAACATAAGCGATTCGCCCTTCCCTCATATGTTTTATTAATCAGAAGTGACGGCATATAAAATAGACGTTGTATGAAATAGAAACATATAATAAAAATAATTAGATAAGATACATTATTACACGGCTATTTACAAAACAAACAAAATTATATCCACCAAGAACTAGAAGTATTCCATGGAGAAAACCGGAATCTCTAAAGAACGCCCAAAAAAGACAAAATTGAAAATGTTGTAGGCCCGGTTTGATTGGCCCAATGGGCGGGTCCCCTCGGAATGGATATTCCAATCCAAACCGCAACATATGACAGATATTATTAGTTCATTTAAAGTTGTGAAACTAGTAAGTGTTTACAAGTTGTTGTCGTTTTAATTACAAAATAACAAAACAAACAATAGGCTATAAACAACATTTCCCCTGGAACAAAAAATAATGTCGCAGCGCAGTTGGTCAAGGGTTGGTCAATAAGAGACATGTAATAACATACTTTATCACACACCCGTGCCGATTTTGCGACTCCGTAAATATGGTATTGCACGGCCTTGCATATATTTTGACGTGACGTCATTAGCGTTATACAAACATAGTGTGAAGAGCGCTAAATGTAAGCGTTATACTATAGGCGCGTGAATGAAATATGACTCTTATTTCACTTTAAACGGTCTTTATTTTGGGTATGTGATAAATAGAATATTAAATTCATGTAAGTTCCATACTGAATTTATCGCACTCGTTGAATAAAATAATATTATGCTCGCCAGAGGCTTGCATAATATAATTATATTCAACTCGTGCAATGAATTCAGTATGGAACTTACACTCATTCAATATCCTCTATTTATTACATGCCTTTCGGTGGTTTATAGAAATATGTCAGTGATATAAAACTGGTAATTTCACTGTTTGAAACAGTGAAATTACCACTTTAATAATTTCACTGTTTTGAATTTAAGCCCCTCACGTTGTTTCAGTGAAATACCAGCGTGCACAGTACTAGGTACCAACTTAATGACGTGACGTCGTAAATGACGTCACGTTGTATTATTATTTGGCGCGCTTTTCATTCAATATTAGGTTTAATGTCTTTTTAAAACGTTTCTTTGCATGCAATAAAAAGAAAATTTGTTTAGTTTAGTGTAAGATCGTTGTGAACACCAAAAGTTCATATTTCACTCGTGGCTGCGCCACTCGTGAAATAAACCTTTTGGTGCTCACTCGGTGAAATATATAGAGAATAATAGGTTGGTGCCGTGGATGGAGAAAGTTTATCTGGCGAGGCGGAGGAATTTATTAGGTGAGCCGAAGGCGAACCCAATAAATTCCGGAGCAGAGCCAGATAAACTTTCTCCATCCACGGCACCAATCTATTATTCTATTTATCCTGTCACCGTTTTTTTAAAGAATTTTATTAGGCAAACTACCTTTAATCACACTATCGGAAATGTTTCTATATAAAGAAAGAAGGCCCGAAGCGTGCATTTTTCTACAACAATGCACTCGCCCTTCTTATTATCTCCCTTGAGGGCGCGCGCCATTTTGTTTGAAAAATGTGATAAATAAAAACAATTTTTTGTCGAATTTTGTTGTGAAAACTATCTAGAATGAAAGAAAATGGTCTAACTAAGAAAATGAATTCGAACACCAATATCTTTTATTCAGTCGTTGACGCTGTATAGACGTTTAAAGTATTGTTTACGTGACGTCACAATGTTGCGCCAAACAGCACGTGCAAAACAATCAAATCAAGTACGCTATTTTAATGTCGCAAACGAGTTAAGTTTTACATTTATTTCACTTATAATAATTTTTATTTCGCTTGAAAAATTATAGAGTGAAATAAAATAAACAAACAAAGTTTTATCAACGTTTCCAAAATTCGTTATTCTACACACAGAAGATTTAACGACAGATTTTATATTTTCTTATTGAAAAGTAGTCCGGCCAACATGCATACCACGTGATCAAGTGCCGTAGAACAGTAAAAATATACGGCACCTTGTTATCGGGCCGAAATTGATACAAGTGACAGGATAAATTCCGATCTTACACTGAACTAAACAAATATCCTCTATTTATTTCATGCTTTCCAGTGTTTTATTGTAATATATCAGATGATTATATTCTGATAAACCACTAGTGAAATTTATAAAATATAATTTTCACTGTAGCCGGACTATATCTGAATGCGAATGAAAAGAAAATCATAACTGAATGGAATAACAGGCAGAAATAAATGCCATCATGCGTAAATTTTGCTTCTTTAGGATAAGTAAGTCGATGTCACCATACATTATGTTAAAAATGTAACAAAATTAGAAAAATTTAACAACTTTATTTCAAAATTGTTGATGTGACGTCATGATGTGATGACGTCACAAAGGAGAATGCGCGACAATACACGGCAAAATCAGTAAAAAGTACTTAAAATCACTTAAAACGCATGAAATAAAAAGAACATTTATTTGTTTTACATATAAGATTGAAATATATTTCATTCGTGAACACCAGCTATTATATTTTCACTCGTGGCTACGCCACTCGTGAAAATATTGCATCAGGTGTTCACTTAGTGAAATTATATTTCAATCTTACATGCAAAACAAACAAATATCCTCTATTAAACACGTCAATTTACTTTAAATTTAAATTTACTCAAGTAAATATTAAATTAAATTTTAAATTTAAAGAAAATTAGGAAAACGCTTAGCTTTCTTCTGTTTTACGTTGTTATACTTTCATAGTTGCCTAATCAGCGTAGATCAAATAATAAAATCATTGCTATAAGAAACTTGCTTTTTCATATAAAACAGAGGAAAACTTCCTTAAAACTTATGTTTTTTTCATGTAAGCTTTATACACATCGTCAAGGTCATAGCACAGAAGTATTTCGTTGCAGTCCGGATCGGAATATCCCTCCTATGGGTACCCTCCCTTTTTGCAATAACGAGGCTGATCGAGTTGTCATCCATGGACGGGTACCTGGGGGACTGATATTCCTATATACCACAAACACATATCAGTTGTTTATTTTTGCATATTCCACTATATTTTAAATATATTAGTTTAATAAAATTAATCATCTATAAACATTCAATATTTTTACAGTATCGTATAAAATTACAAATTCATTAACAAATTTCATTCTGAATCGCTCCAGATTGACGTCATTTTAATGCACGCGCCACATCTAGCATCCCTAATGTCGGATGAAATTTCCGGCATAGGTAACACTTACAGAAACACCAGACTATCCGTCATACCGGCATACTGCTTAGTGAGTCTCCAGTACGTTTATGGAGTTTGTACTGCGTTTACGAGGCATTCATAGGGCGTTCTTATGGCGTTCTACGGCTTCATATCCGACCTTATGGAATCTACAGCGCTTTCTTAGACTGTGTACTATGACGCTATGTCAATCATGAAGCGTCCTCACAGCGACTGCATTATGACAATTGTCAACGAACTTATTGATCAACCATTGTATAAATGATATTTAAGTGAATTTAGAATGTTCTGAGCATCGTCTATACTGTTTGCGAATGACATATACATATATATTTTGTGTACATAAATGTTTTATTGAGATGATAAACTGGAAATATTTTTTTCTGAAATTCTTGTATGTATATTAACATTGAAACAATTGGACGTTTGACAAATAGATTTCTCCCTCATCCCCATCATAGGTTTTTGAAATTCGTTTACAAAACTAGAAATAAGCAGGGAAAATAATATACGAAACGCATAGCTATGTTCAAAACATACAAGCTGTAATATACATGTGCCTAATATTTATTCATAAGTTTATGCCATGTATAAGTATTTACAGAAAGATTAAGGTCTTGTAAATGAACATTTCTTGAATCTGATGTTTTAAAGATTTGACATAATTCTACGGCTTGGCTCATCAGACTACATATTAATCGAACTGAAAAAAATATGATTAAAAATATGTTTTAGATTACACATTAAACAACTAAAAGTATAAAAGGCATTCTGGCATTGCTATTAATTAGTTAAACAAAGAACGTACCTGTTTATAAATTATTTCTTCTTTGATATAATGAATAAATCTGAATAAAACTTGTGCAATCCTTTTATCATTTCATATAATTCTTCAACAATTATTAAAAATAATATGCTTATATAGATACTACAGTAATTTCCTAATTGAAATCTTATATTGTCATTCACGAATTCTGATCGATAAATAATAACGTCAGACTGCTTATCCAAACACGACCATAATCATAATCTTTTGATCCGATAATCCTTTGTTAGCGGTGCTTTCATTAATCTGAGGTTAATTTCGGCACTCCGATTAACCGATTACTGAATTCATATGAGCCGCGCCACGACAAAACCAACATAATGGGTTTGCGACAAGCATGGATCCAGACCAGCCTACGCATCCGCGCAGTCTGATCAGGATCCATGCTGTTCGCTTACAAACCTTATTACAAGTAGAGAAACTGATAGCGAACAGCATGGATCCTGATCAGACTGCGCGGATGCGCAGGCTGGTCTGGATCCATGCTGGTCGCAAATGCATCACGATGGTTTTGTCGTGACGCGGCTCATATTTTGTATTTTATTTCTCTGCAATGAAAAACAAGTAAGCCAATGATTTAGAATTCATTTCTCTGCAATGTATTTTTTTCCGAGCTGGAGCTTGTTTTAATAAATATAGCAGCACATTTTCAGTATGATAATTATGGCCATTCGTAAACTAGAGCTACATTTGTAGTTGGATAATTTAATCATGTACGAAGATTGAATTTTATCAGCACGAAAAGCTAGTTTATGCTTTAAATCCTCCATAACAAATATCAGCGGTATTATTTTATTAATCTGTCAATTATGATTATATGTTATGTACATGTATTGTCCAAGATCAGGATCGCAGTTTAGGTCGAACTCGCGAAGAAAATAGGGAAAACAATACACATGATGATTTGAATGAAAAATGGGCATTTTTGTTGAATAAATTGTCCCAACAGAATCTAACTGGGAGGCAAAAAGCTTTACAATCCAACTTTTCTTATAACCGTGTAGTTTACGAGGATTGCTATGGAGTATATAAGCAATGTTTTGAAATGTCACACTAGTTGAAATCGTGATCACGTCTGCGATAACACATTTGCCAAGTTAATTGCCTGTGGTTCGTGCCCTACTGTTCATAAGTATCGTTTTCTCTTTTTTCTTTATCTATGAAGTATAATCTAATGAAAATGGCTGAGTGGTCACTGTTGTGGAGCAAAACAAAAACATTAATCAGTGAGGCTGATGGTGTCCATTGTTGTATTGTATTGCTTTGTATCGTATCGTATCGTATCGTATAGTATCGTATTGCACTGTACTGTACAGTACTTTACTGTACTGCACTGTACTGCATAGCATAACATAGCTTAGCATAGCATTGAAATAAAACATACTAAAGAAAAACGACAAAAATATTAATACCATTTAATTTCATAGAATTGTTGAATAGCTTCGAAAACGCTTAAATAATTTTTAAAAAAGCATGGCCGGGCACGGTTTCGATCTTACGACACGTACGTAGGTCACTGTCCTATTGCCTATTAATGAGCTCGGGTCAATTAAAATTAAAAATAAAATGCATAACAGAACATTACCTATAAGTAACATGCCAAAGAGTAGATGACTATAGAAGCAAACATATTGTTATGATTTCAAGAAAACTGCCAATATTTATGTGCGCTTCATGCGTCTTTCGATGTTAAAAGTTTATGAAATATAAGGGAAGTTATCATAAAACACCTCTAAAATAGTTGATAGCGCCAGTGATCTCCCCTGTGATACATGGCAGTCAAAATAGTGAAAAGCAAGAACGTTCAAAAATAATGCAGTTTGAGTCGCTCGTGTGCAACAAAATAGTCACTCGCCTGTTTCAATAACTTCTTCGTGCTTGTCAAAAACTACAAACGCTCTTTTTAAAATTATGATCATTTATTTATTCAGATGTTAGCGTTGAACTGATAAAAAACCACAAAACAAAATTCATTTTATAACAAACCGCTTGTAGCTGGGTAACTACGATGTTTTAAACCTACTGTATGGGCTGTTTGCAACAAAAAGTTGATACAAATAAAAAGTATTTATTCCTTATATTGAAAAAAATATATTCATAATATGGTCGATATAACTGATTAAAATTGCTTATTTATTTTTACCGTAAGAGTTTCAGTTCTTTGTGATTTTGTTACAAACGTAACCAATAACAGGAATATCAGTATCAAAAAGTTAAATAATTATGCTAACTTTATTGTTTATATATGGTAAAATAAAAACCCTCCCATGGATACATTTATTGTCTATATGATTCAAGTTGGGTTCCATCATCAGTATTATTCTCGTGCTGTACGTCATCATCAGTATTGTGCTCGTGTTTTACGTCATCATCAGCCTCGATTCTGTTTTCACCTGGCAGAATAATGTTCTCGGGTTGCAGGTCATCTGGTGTTTTGCTGTCATCTGTTTTGTCCTGTGGTTTGAAACTTGTGGAAGGAGTTTTGTCAGGTAAAACCATTGGCCTTACGGAAACATTCCTGACCGGTAATCTATCTTTAGATTTATTGTTTTCGTAGTGGCAGCAGTAACACCATATTGCGGCAAAAATTGCTATAAAACCAAGTAGGGAGAAAAATCCGACAAGAAGTCCAATTACACGTGCATCGCCGCTACTCTGAAATTAATTACAATCAATTATGTTGTTAACTTTCCCATGATTATATTTAATTAAAATATTCTCACTTGTTTGAGACATTTGACATAAAAGACACTGTCTTCCATTTTCTCGTTTTAAAAAGACAACAATTTCATATTGTCTTTTAAAATGAGGAGATTGACAGATTCAATCAAATTGAGTTTGTCATTTTAACCGCTATAATTTTTTCCATTTCATTACTTCGAGTGATCTCCCTTTTCAGATTTTTCATTTCATTCTACTACTGAAAATCATACGACAACCATATATAGATCTTACAAACACAAATTTATTGACAATCCATGAAAGATCTACTCTCACCACAGTCGGTAGAAGCAATAACTATTCTTAAAAATAATCTAATCATATACTTTTTCGCTTTTTAATTACTTTATTTGTATAAATTTTAATTAACTCATTACACATCAGCGAAAATTACACAGGTTTCAGATGCTTTGTATATTAGAATAAAATATTGTAACCATTAAAGTTGTGCAAAAATAAACGTGTTCAAAGAGTTTTATTTGTACTTTTATGACACATGATTAACGAACAGAGCATTGACTATATATATCATAGATATATAGAATTTAAATAAAAATATGTCTTTAAGAAATACCTGTTTTGCAGTTTCTTGTGCTGCTTTGTCTGCAAAATAAATTTTATTTAGTTTGATATTTAATCTGAAAATGTTAATAGAAAAAAAAATCAAATTTATTTTTATCATGAATTATTAAATTATTATAACCAGGAATGACGATAGTAGCTCAAAAAGTATGAAACCCCCATTTCACCTATCAAAAAATACCAGCATAAATATTCAGTAAAACTTAATAAACTTAATAAAAAATTATATTTGAAATTTACTTACTACTTACATTTAAATATCCAAAAGCTAACGACTAAGAACAAAACGGCATTATATCTCTCCATTGATACAGTACAATTAAAATAAAACTAGGAGCATATAGTCTGAAGCAAATGTTTCCTTACAAATGAAACGTAGCACTATTTGTGCTAGTGTCCTAGATGAATTACCTGTTATTCATTATTCATTTTCTTCTAAAGGAAGTATCTTAAAGATTAAAGTAAACAGTTCGTAATATTTTATAAACTTAAGCTGGCTCAGTAATCTGATACATCAAAACTGTACTGACTATTTCTTTGGTGTTTTATGTGTTTTTAGTTGTTTGTGACATACATTTGTGATCTCTCAGTAGAGTTAACCAGCCAAATATAAAAACAACACATAATATAGTATGACTATTTTTGCAGCCCATAACACGTCTTTGCATAGGCCATTTTACAAGATATAGAAATTCTTATATTCACAATACGACGTGCGCTAACATTACATACAGTGAGTTGGCCAATAACGGGTCACTAGCGAAACTTTTAGTGTTTATGAACGAACGATTCTTAGATTCATATATAAATGTATAATGATAAGAAGTATTTTTATTCCCCTTTTACTGTATACTTCTTGTGAATTCATATTTTGAATGCATCGTGGTGTATTTACCGTTTCCAAACCCTTTGTAAACATGCCAATAGCGGGTCAAATCGGCCATTAGCGGGTCATGTGATATACGAACGGGGGTTTTCTCAAAACATTAATTATCTGTCAAATTCTTCCCTTAACCAGGAAAATATTACACAACTATGTGTTACCGCTGAGTATTAAAGTGAAAAGGGTACCAATAAGTAAAGAATCCATGTGGCAGCTGCATGATTGTGGTAAAAACAATAAAGATTATAATTATGCTAATCTAGATATCTGCTCAATGAATTGTAAATTGTGTAGATAACATATTTATTTCATTTTCAGGGTTACAGGGGACAAAGCAGCTCGTCGAAGCAATTTTGTGCACATTCTATGTAAAATTCCATTAAATTAACTGTAACACAAGTCTCTTGTTGTGAATCAAAAGCTCAAGAAATTTGCATGTTCTTCTATGTTGTCATTATGTGGATACACTTTCTAAGAATAACAAACAAAATTGTCAACTGATTTTCTCTTATTGAGTACACTCTGTGATATAAACAAACAAAATTATAACAAAATACATGTAATGATGTAAAACAATATTGACTACATCATTTAACAATACTGACTTGGTTCAACGTCAAACCTAAAAAAAACACATGTGAATAATGTTAAACAATATTGACTAGATCATTAAACAATACTAACTTGGTTCAAAGTCAAACCTAAAGAAAAACCCATGTAATTATGTAAAACAAAATTGACTCGATCATTAAACAAAACTGACTTGGTTCAACGTCAAACCTAAAAAAACAACATTTAATTATGTAAAACAATATTGACTTAATATCATTAAACAATATTGACTTGGTTCAATGTCAAACCTAAAAAAATACATGTAATGATGTAAAACAATATTGACTAGATTATTAAACAATACTTGCTTGGTTAAAAAAAATATGAATTTTCAGTCACTTACAGGCACATTTTGTGTATGAAAGATTAATAATTCTGTCGAAAGAGTTTAAATATGTTGTAATATGGATTTATATCATATGAGATGCTTATCATCTGATAAAAATACCTTTGAATATAAAATCATTGTGATAAAGAAAGTAAATAAATACAAAATACTAATTAACTTTTACTGTGCTAAACCTAAGCAAAAAGGAAACTAAAAATGGTTCAGAAATATGACCAATAAGTAACTTTTGGAAAGTGCAAAATGGACATTAAAAATAACTAAGCTTTGAAAAAATAAAGTGATAGCCTTAAAATAACAAGACTTTGAAAAAAATAATGATAGCATTGTTAGGCTTAATTAGCCCTCTGTTTTTTTTTACCACTGAGGAGGCTGCATTCTGGGCTGGACTACATTGAACACTTTTTCTCTTTCCCTTAGGCATTAGAATCTGAAACAATAAAACAAGTAAACAAATGAGCTTGTCATGTCATGATGTGAGTATAATGACAAAGAACAATAACCAAAAGTCCGGGAAGGGGGGGGGGGTGATTACAAAAATATTCATGCTAGAGTGATAAATCTATCACATGTGATGTGTGTGTTAATAAGTAACAAACATTTGAAGATAAAAGTAGATACCACAAGAAATGAAGAAGTTGTAATAATAATAATAAAAAAAAATTATTAAATTTTAAACAAAATTCTAAGTTCAATTGTGAAATAATTCTGTAAAAAAATGTGTGCTAAAGTAATAAATTTTGTCATACATCCTGTGGGTGATGATAAAATACATGTATTTGAAGTTTAAAATGGATAACTTAAAAATAAAGAAGTTACTGTACAGTTAACAATAATATTTTAGAATCTAGTCTAGAACGATAGTATTTCAATGTTGCAGCAGTTTATACTACATAAAACACCATATTTTAGCATGGACTGCATAATTCACTTGCAATAATAACATAAATAAATTAAATTTTATATTTATTTGTATACAAACCAAAATTTGCTTTAAATTTTCTTTTCTAAAACCTGTTGAATAACTTTGAGGCGGTCTCTTCCTGGAAAATAACATGACCCGCTATTGGACAACGTGATGCAATTTGATTGACCAGCGCTATCACTATAATTCCTCATGCACTTTTTAAATGGCTGCTGCTGCAGATAGTTAACATATTGGGCATCAAATACCTACCAGCTTTGATCATATATCTTTTGGGGTTTTTCAGCAATAAAGCAGCGACTGCGAATTTGTGTTGTTACTGGCGCAATATTTCGCGACAAACGGAAACGCTTGGTAAAGCATCTGAATGAATCTGATTAGAATTATCCGGATGTTTACTTTTTTTTTCGCTGTCGATGAGCTAACATCCAAATGCACATGACTGTTAGGTTATAACACTTTTAAGTTCAAAACATTAAATAAAATAATTTATTAAATTACTGACTGACCCGTTATTGGCTATGATCCGCTATTGGCTAACTCACTGTACATACTCTCCTGAACAAGTGTGTAAAAGCTGTAAAATGTTGCCAAATACTTAATTTAACATTTAAGCATGAAATGGTACTCTAATCACTGGTACAGCGGGAAATGGAAACTTGAAAGGTCACCTATGTTGCATTCCATGAAAATAGGCCCAATATCCCACAGTGAAATTAACGATCTAGACACAATGGGCGGAACTAAATAAGAGGGACCTAGAGGTAGTGAAGCCTGCATATCACAGACAGTTACTGAAAGACAAATTTAGATGACAGACAACTTTAACTAGGGTGATTATAAACCATTCAATAAGGAATAATTCGAACGACCTACGAGAAAAAGATGAGAATAAAAAAATAACAGAAACACATCAACAATTTCTAAAAGGGTCGGAAATGCAACATCTTTGTTTCTGTCTCGCCTTTAGAAACATTCACAGATTTGTTTATACGCCGCTGATTATGAAACTTTCAATATGAAACTTTCGTGTCGTGTTATTCTAAAGTCAAACATACTTTTGAAAGATTTATTTGATAGTGGTATTTCCCTGGCTCCTACAAGCTTAAATGTGAACATACTTATTATGACAGCTAGTATATGTCAACAAGTGAGTAGAATGTTAATCAAGAGTGCATTTCATGTGTTTTTGGTCGGCAGAGATGTTCATCTTGAGGTTGTAGTAAGCCAAAAGAATAAACCACTGAAAACGATTTGAATGCTTGTGTCAGATATGTATGTAACTTGCATTTGTACGTGTAATAAGCTTACATATAAATGTATTGTGTTTCATGTTTCACAGTTCATGTGAGTGGGAAGGGAGAGTAACAATACAATTATGAACATCATGATTTCAACACAGTTGTCTCCTTCTAATAGAATTAATTTATGAAATAATAATGAAATAATTTATTTTATACAAAAGCGTCATATATCAGAACAAGTTTATTCTAAAAGTTGTTGGTGTGTTGCGAAATTTCTGGGTTTATTATAGGTAAAGCCTCAATTTCGTTTTTATTTTAAGTGGTATTAAATACCAACAAGACAAAGCAACGCTCACAGAACGCAGCCTCTGACAAAACCAAGCCAACTCAGATCTAACTTTAAACAAAATCCTCAGTTAACCCAACAAGTGTGTAATAATATTGTCCGAATTCACTCAGTAGTCTATTTCTACATTTTTATCTCTATACACCTGGGCAAGACTGAATGTATGTTGTTTGGTTTTAAATAAAGAAAATAAAATCTATTTCATGTAATGATCAAACAATAAAGGTTTCGTCTGCAGTTAAATCACTTGGTTTGAATATCGTTTGTTACCTAAAAGGACAAAAAATTGTCAAGAGCATTTTTGTCAAAGGTGAATGGAAGATTACATTTTCTATATCGTTACAAAAAAAAACGTAACGTTAATGCAGAAATAAAAACTTTGTGAAATAAATTAAAACAGAATCATTCAATTAAAACATAACTTCATACAGCATTATACAATACAGTATACATAGAATATGTATCTACGCATGTGATACAAAAATTATCATTATTATCATAACAAAAAACTTGATATGAGAAAAAAAACAATATATATAACGGCCCTATAATTAATATGCTTGAAAGATGACAAAGCTATACATTTATATATTTTTTATTGCGTATGCATTAAATCGTGTAGAAATTACTTGTGTACAATAACAAATCCTAGTATTTTATTGTGTTGTGATATCATATACATGTATCATGATCAAGAGAATTGTGCAACCATATGTCATACTGAGGTCTCCATTTAGTACGATCAGTAAGGTGTAAGACAACTGTTTTTGTTGTATTTAATTAGATGTTTTAACACAAATCAATTTATTTTATTCTCAAAGACTAGACCATTTTTGTCATTCTAAATCATTTTTCTCAAAATGCTTGAAATTGTCTAATAGACAACTTGTTTTTCAAGACTAAGCTTAGACAAAAATTTCAAGCAAATTGAGATGTGGTGAAATAAACGGGATTTTTAATGTTTGTGAATAAAATAAAAATGATTTGTACTAAAACTTCTAATTA